CGTAGGGAGAGATGGCACTGGAGAGGCCATCGGGATGAGGAAAGAGAGTATATGTGTGCCCCTTTCGAGAGCCTGGACTTTGCCCTTAAAGCAAAGAGAGTCACCCAGGGTGAGAAGGACCTGGCTAACAGTGTGGAGGAAAGTTGAAGGGAAGCAAGATTAGAGTCAGGGAAGGCTGGACATCAATCGTTCGTTTCAGCATGTTGCTCTTCGGGGCGTCTAGTCACAGACAATTCATGGCAACCAAACCACCAAAGAAAGCCTTGCCCAGTGTGCACCAGCCTCGCGACTGTCACGTTCGAACCCATCGTTGGCGCCACGTATCAGTCCAGCTCCTGGATTGACCCTCTACTTAGCCAAGCATGATGTCCTTGTCCAGGACTGGTCCCCTGAGACAACATGTCCAAAGGACATGCTTGCAATGGAGTCTTGCCTCCTCACTTCCAGGAGCGTCCTGGCTGTACTTCTTCCAGGACAGGTTTGCTCATTCTCCTGGCAGTCCTTGGCAGATTTAATATTCTTCCCCAACCCTATAATTTAAAACCATCGGTTCTTCAGTCTTTCCTACTTGAAAACAGGACGACTTGTATCTGCTCGTTAACACTGTGGAGCAGATATTCCCCGTGCAAGACATTCTCCTTTGATTTCTTGGCTGATGCTCCCACGAGTGTTGGTTTGTGGATCCACATGAAAAGAAATCCTTGTCAACTTCAACATTTCTCTCATGTATCTTGATGCCGTATGTTGGTGTGGTTGTAAAAAATGGTGTTGACGTGATGTTGTGCTGTTATCGGTAATATTCATGAGTAAGTGCTTCACGTCCTATTTGCTTTCAGGCAGTGAAGGAGGATAGCGCAGATAGTTTATGAGTCTTTCTCTGATCCTGACGTCATCTTTTTCTTCAGACAGTCCAGCTTCTTGGATTATTTGCTCAGCATAAAAGTTAAATAAATAAGGTGAAAGGATACAATCTTGATGTGTATCCTTTTATCCCCAACAGTTTTATTGGCATAGAATTTACATAGCATGCAATTCAATGGCTCAATCACACAAAAAGACTCCTATAATTACCACCGCAATGAGTTTTAGAACATTTTCTTCATTTTTGTGCTCATCGTTATTAGCTCCCCACTCCCATTCCCCACCCTCCCTTGCCATACCCCCAAGGAACCATTAATCCAGTTATTGTCCAGTTATTATATTGACTTATCTATCCAGGATTTCATATACAGAAAAACATATTTTAAAAATGAACAAGAATAACAAAGTAAAACCGATAAAAACATCAATCAGAAAAAGCATAAAATATTAAAAACTAGAACAAATTTAAATGGATAAAAGGGAAATTAAATGATAGGATGCTAAATTTCAATTTAACTGCCTCTGCGATAATCCCCTTTCCAATGCACCCTGAATGTTAGCAAGGCCAGTCACATCCCTGGTCAGAGGGGATTCACCAGGAGCTTAATCCACATGCATTTCCTCTTCACTTTAAAAAAAAAAAAAAAAGCTTTTAAAAAGGGTCCAAAGGGAGATCAAATGAGAAGACATTACATTTCAACCTAAAGGCATCTGCCATAAACCACTTTACAGTGCTCTCTGTCTGATAACAAGGCTATTCACAACTTTCAACCATGTTTGGAAGGGATTCACCAGAGGCTTAATCCTTGGGTGGACCCTGCAGATGGATTTTGGACTTCCACTGTCATCTATAGCCTTCTGCAAACCAAGTGTTCACCGTTTAAGGTCTGATGCCATTCCCTCCTTTAGATTTTTGGATTACAGTGAACCCTTGTTTATCGCGGTTAATTGGTTCTAGACCCTACCGTGATAAATGAAATTCCGCGAAGTAGGATTCCTTATTTGTAAATCCAATATTTTCGTAGTTAAAGCATAGAGGACATGAAAAAACACCCTTTAGTCACCATTACACTCGTATTACCCAATTTATTAAATGAAAAATGGAAAATACAGTAAAACATTTTGGATGTTACAATTATCATTTATTATTTATTATATTATTTATGGCATCTAGTTTACAGTATTACATATTTCACATACAGTATTATTATACATAGTTCTTACAACTATTGTAACCAATAGCCTATGAAATGACTTAAGGGATGTACTCTACAGGTGGGTCGCCGTCTTTTTCCTCTGAAGGAGCGGGTGTAGGCAGTGGGCACTGTTACGCAAAAACCGCGATAGAGTGAAGCCGCGGAAGTCGAAGCGCGAAGTGGCCAGGGTTCACTGTATACTATTTACAATCTTTAGATCACACAGACGTGTGCTTTGTCCATGAGCACTTACTTGACACTTCACTTAAATGGTTACTTGTTTGAAAACAAGCCATTTAGACTCCAGACACTAGTCTTTCTGATAGCCCAGAACCATCTAGTTTCTTCGCTACACTTTGTTATAGCACCCATAACATCAGTGACCTCTTCATGAGGTATCAAGTAGGGCCATGTCATAAGAAATAACTGTTCTTAGATCAGGGTTAGAATTAAGTGCAAGCCCCAAACCCATTCATGCATCTATGGTTGATATATATCTTGGTTCGATATGCACCATTCTCATATCCCTTCGTTCTCTTTGAATACCTGCCTGTTGGTTTCTGTATGGTTTGGTGTGAGCACAATGAAATGATCTAGAATTCTCATTCTTTACAATGTTTTTCATCCTCATTTAGATCCACATAGAAGGCAAGTTTTTTAGAAGGCGATCACCAGGTCCTTCTTAGTCTATCTTAGTCTGGAAGCTCTGCTAAAACCCGCATGGCCCGGCTCGTGCTTGAAATATCATTGGCATAGCTTACCCCATCGTCACAAAACGCAAGCCACTATAGTCCTACGAGCTGACAGATGAGTGCTAAGCTGACAAATGAGAGCTAGTCTCTGTAGCCCTCTGTATATTTTACTTCAAGAACCAAATTAAAACAAGAGCAGTGGGAATTGCAGAACAATCAATGCATTGGCAGTTCTCAGAGGACCAGTGAATACCTTCCCCTTTTCTGTACCCAGACCTGAGAGGGGTGTAGTAGTGGATGCAAATGCAGTACCTCCAAACCAGGAGCATCTCTCAGCTGTCTTCTCCAGCGGGAGTCTCATCGCCCTGCTCTGGCTCCCGGGGCAATCTTGGGGTACAAGGTTTGAAAACCTTCTGCATTAAGGATCCATCAAGTGGGTTCTCCTAACAATGTTCATCATGTGTCTGCAAACGCTGGACTATGACAAAAGGACACTCGGGAAGAAGCAGTGCCTTCGAATGATGGTGCTCCTGAAGAACATTGAGGGCACCCATTGGGGTACCATGGAGCACCCAAAGCCTAGGCTAGGGTTCTTTGGAAGAAGTCCGGCCAGAAAGCTTCTTAGAAGCGAGAATAGCAAGATGTCTTCTCGTGTGTCTTGGACATGTTATCAGGAAGGACAATTCCTCGGTGGAGGGCATCATGCGTAGCAAAGCAGAGAAGACCTTCAACAAGATGGATTGGCACAGTAGCCGCAATAATGGCATCAAACATTAAAAAAAATAGTGAGGATGTCACAGGGCCAGGCAGTGTTTCCTTCTGTGGTACTGTGGGTCGCTGTGAGTCGGGACCCACTTGATGGCACCTGCCTTCAACAACAAACACTCTCATCTCAACAGATGATCACTCTAGAAGGGGCCACCATTGAGTCATGGCAGTGGCAGGTCTGAGAAGAGCGAGTTTTCTTTCTGAGACTCCTTCAGAGCACAACCAAAATGAGGTGGGGGTGCAGCTAGTACAACAAGGGTAACGGAGCACGCCCTCTGTTGGCCATCTGAAATCAAGTGGGTTGCCTCCAGCACCCCGACAGCTTGTTAATGCTTTCTTTTTTTTTTTTT